GTTTGTTTTTTTGTTTTGCTTAAGGTTTTGTAAATCACTGATCAAGCCATCTTGTGATCCTCAGGTAACAGAAAATTGTACATATATTTATATATGAATATACTATAAACTACAACAGGCAGTCATTGTGAATGTGACAGGTTCCATGGAACTAAAGAAATTCAAGAACACAGAGATAGAAATAAGTAGTTCACATCTCAGGTCCAGTGGACAGAGGCTGAAAAAACTCAATGAGGCTTGTTGCTAAAAACTGCCGTGCTGCCCTTGAATGCTGTACTTAACCCTCAGCTGCTCGAAAGACGCTGGAACTTAGCATCAGTGCAAGTGTGAATGAGAAAGCAAAGAGAGTTTATTATTCATGACCCATTACTTTATATTCTCACCACCTGGCCGCTCAATCCCAATGCACTGAAACCCCACACGGACGACGCTGAGCTTAATGACGATGGAAACAGCGAACGGCACCTCATTCCAAAACCAATCACGTCTCTAAAGGTGCTGCATCATTTTGAGGCATTCCAAGGGTGGTTCTGTGTTTGTGGAAACACCCATTTTCAAGCCAATAAAATTCAAGGGTCAGGAATCAACTAAACAGCCACACAGCATGACAAAATGGGGTCTGTTCTGGAAACCAAGCAGTCTAACCTGCAAAACATGAAGTATCAGCAAAGAAACAAGGATCATCTGGCAACAAAAGGCTGAGCTTATTATTGCATGCACTTGACAAGAATGAACGAGCATGACTGCTTGAAGCTATTGTTCACTTTAGACTTTGACCATCCTTGCATGCATGCAAACAAACTACACGCTCTGAAACAACCATATGCTCCATGACAATCTGCATCCAAATAAAGAAACACACATCCTTACACACTTTACGGCTCAGTGACAGTGTAGACACATACAGAGATGAATATTTCAGGGGAAAAAAATGTTTTCTCTCATTTTTCACAATATGGATTATAGAGTTCTGCATGTTGTGTTTTTCTCCAGCATATTCCAACATTGCTATAGAGGAGAGCGGGGTAAGCTGTGTCACTTTTTACTTGACCTCTAGTCAAGCAGAAATTGGATTAAATGAATAAACCTAATTATACTGCAGGATGTATTCTATCAGTGTGTACTAGAAGAAATATACATATTAAAATATATATTCAAAAATATAAATGTTCAAAAAAAGTATGTGAAAATTGACATTTATATTGAAAATATAATCTTTACCATTTTATTTATTTACATTAAGTGTAATCCAATGCATATTCTAATTTGAATGTCTTATTGGTAACACTTTACAATAAGTTTTTGTTGTTGTTGTTGTTAGTTAATATGAACTAGCAATGAGCAGTACTTCTAAAGCATTTATTAATCTTAGTTTATGTTCATTTCAACATTTACTAATACATTATTAAAACCAATGGACCTGAACTAAGATGACCTAACAACAATGAACAATTGTATTTTATTAACTAACGTTAACAAAGATGAATAAATACTGTAACAAATGTATTGATTATTGTTAGTTAATGCATTAACTAATGTTAACTAATAGGACCTTATTGTAAAATGTTACCATCTTATTTTAATGCACATTATTCACATGTTCATAAACTAGCTAAAAAAAAAATTTATATTCAAAATATATGAATGTAATGAAACAATTGTCAGTATTTTGCATTAGTATTTGTAGTATTGGTCAAAAAATGTACGTTTTAAACATGTTTATAATATTTAGATCTTTAGAAGTTTCTTTGAAATAAAATGCATTTTACCTGCAATGTAGAAAATGTAGTCGTGCAAAAAAAAAAGTTTGAGTATGTGCATCACTCAAACACAATCAGCTGTGTATAACTACCATTTTCTATCATATGACAAAGAATTATGCACAGTTTGTCTGATTAATGGGGTGAAACCCCATTTTTACCCCACTATTCCCAACACCACATGGCCAAAAGTGTGTGTGCATCCACACTCATACGTGCTTATTGAACATTTACATTCAAAACCATGCACATTAATAGTGAAATAGTCCTGTTGTTGCTGATGTAACATCTTCCACTCTTCTGAGAAAGCTTTTTATTAGATGCACACCTTCAAAGTCACTGCAGAAATGTTCAGGTATCAGTAACCCATGTTATTATGGATGCACTTTTAACCATGTTGTATATTCATAATAATGTTCATGCAAGACATTTTTGACTGACATACCAAGTGTTATATTCTATGCATTGAAAATTCTAATGGCAGTGTTGCATTAGAGCACATATCATATCGCTCTTATACGCACCCCATCATTTTCATTGTTTCTGCGTTCTTTTAGCTTGTTCCACAGAAATCACTGCTGTTACAGAAGCCTCGCCATCTGTCCCATCACATTTTATGAGAAATGTCTGCTGGATGCTTCCGCTGCCTAATGGATCAAAAGAGCACTTGTCTGTTACTATTCAGGGTACCCTGGGTAATCTTCAATGCTGCCACTGCTGCGATCGCAAGTGAGACAAAACGATAAACCGTGCACTGCAGGCGTGAGCAAAGATTTGACTGGTCTTGGGGTGGTTCTCTAGTGGGTCTGAAACAGCTGCATGCACGAAGAAGAGAGCATGAAAGTATACTCTTAAAGGAATTGATCACCCAAAACTGAAAATTTGCTAAAATACTACTCACCCACAGGCCATCCAAGATGTAGATGAGTTAGTTTCTTCATCAGAACAGATTTGGAAAAATTTTGCATTTCGTCACTTGCTCACCAATGGATCCTCTGCAGTGAATGGGTGCCGTCAGAATGAGAGTCCAAACAGCTGATAAACACATCACAATAATCCACAAGTAATCCACACCACTCCAGTCCATCAATTAATGTCTTGTGAAGAGAAAAGTTGCATGTTTGTAAGAAACAAATTAAAGGGATAGTTCACCCAAAAATGAAAATTACCCCATCACACTCACCCTCAAGGCATCCAAGGTGTATATGACTTTCTTCTTTCAGACGAATCCAATCAGAGTTATATTAAAAAATGTCCTGGCTCTTTCAAGCTTTCGTCTGAAAGAAGAAAGTCATATACACCTTGGATGCCTTGAGGGTGAGTAAATCATGGGGTAATTTTCATTTTTGGGTGAACTATCCCTTTAAGATCTATCCATTTTTTATCTTCGAACCGTTGCTTCTAGCTAAAACATGAGTCCTCTGTCCGTAAGTGAAAAAGTCGTCTCGTCTTAATTAAGGAGAGAAATATGCACAGATCAAGCACCGTTTACAAGCAAAAACAGTCCAACTCTGTTCTAAACAAATTGGTATTTTGGCCAGAAGCAAGGATTTAAAGTTAAAAATGTCATATAAACTCAAAGCTTTTCTCTTCACAAGATGTTAATTGATGGACTGGAGTTGTGTGAATTACTTGTGGAATATTGTGATGTTTTTATCAGCTGTTTGGACTCTCATTCTGACGGCACCCATTCACTGCAGAGGATCCATTAGTGAGCTAGTGATCATAATGCTAAATTTCTCCAAATCTGTTCCCATGAAGAAACAAACTCATCTACATCTTGGATGGCTTGAGAGTGCATAAATGTTCAGCAAATTTTAACTATTCCTTAAAAAATCTAAAGGTATAAAAACCTTTATGTTTGTCTGTAACAGATACATCAAGCATTAAATATTCATTAAAGGTATATTAATATTTATAGCATGCTCTCATTAGAATATAACCTTTATCACCTCAGAAATCGTCTATGAATGTTTATAAAAACATAAACTCTATTTCTAACTCTAAATCTGTTTTTGCTTCCTACTGTCTTGACAGAATAGCTCAAGAAAAAACTCAACTCCCTAATTACCTGTCAGCATATATTTTTTTCTGGTTGGGTTGAGAACTATATCTGAGAATTTTCCTTTTGTTTGCACTATATCAAACCATGAAACACAAGACAGGCTTAAGAAAGACATCTTTCTAGGTATGGAAAGCCACAAGACATTCACCAGGTGTCTGCAGGTCACATTCAGGTTGAGTCAACGACGCACACAACACAGTCACTCCTCCCTCGACACGGTGAACCATTATCACTATATTTAAACAGTGTTTCGTGTTAATGAGGCACTATAGGGTGTATGTGCGTAATGAACAACCTGTCGTAGATCACGCTGGCAAAACATTATGATAATGCTGGCCTGTTTATGTTGAAGAATGCAGGTGGCACTGTCTTCCTTCTAGTTACTTGCTTAGTAGAGCAAAAGAAATATGTAATTGATATAATGGATATGAATGTGAACACATGCAACACACAGATGGATCGCAACGAAAAAGATGACAGCTGACCGTCTGACACTTGGACACTTGTGGTGCTAAGTCAAGTCAGTTTTATGTCTACACTGCTTTCGGCATATTGTTTCAAAGCAGCTTTACACAAAAATCTCTTTGAGAGATGTTTGCATGCCAGATATTAACAAGCTACATCATATTTACATGTTTATTTAAATGAATTATTCAATCACATTAAACTGAGGACAAATTGGGTGCTTGAGGGCATGCAAACCCTTCATTAAAAATTATGGGCGTCCCTAAAGACTCATCTTTGAAGGGCTGCCAGCCCAAGAACAATTTGATAGACAATGTTTAGCATAAGGATGAGAACAAGGATGTATGTGTTTTATTTCACCTGATGTGAATGGAAGATCTGACACAGCAAAACGTGCATAAGCAGGCTGTCCTTGTGCTCCAGCATCTCTAATGCAGCATCAAAGGCTTCACACACTCATTTGTGTTCTCAAGTTTAGGCAACAAAGCTTCGTTTTTAGATCATTTGGATGGGTGTTCAGTGAGATTCTGGATCTCACTCCTTCAGTTGTCAATCTCCATAATTAGATCTGTCTGAATGGTGACTAATCTGGTTAGAAACACTTATCAGAAAAGCTTACCAAATAGACAAATGACGGGTCAGTTAAAATATGTGCATCTATTGTATTGCATTAGATGGAAATCCCAGTACTGCTAGTTATAAAAGCTTACCTGATATTCAACTGGTGGTGATTTGCAATTGGTTCCACTCATTCAAGTTCACAATTCTTCCATCCCTCTTGCATTTGTCATCACTGTCTATGTGAAAACGAGTGATCAGCCTCCGGATCATAACGACCACTAATGCACAGTCTCCATCCGCAACCGCTTGGCAAAATCCTCCAAAGCGAGTCCTTTAAACTTGCTCTTAGTTTATATTCCCACAACAGGCGAGACACATCTGTTGTCTTGTTCTCCAGCATCCTCCGCAATCCGAGCCATGCAGCTTTGCATCTACGTATCTTCTGCTGTCGCTAGGCATCCTGAGCAATAATAATGACCGGCTGAAAACCACAAGTAGCGGTGTCCGATTCGCGAGCGAACGGTTCTTTGAACCGGTTCTTCTGAATGATTCGATCGAGCCGAATCGCAAAGCGTGTGAAAGCGAAATCACTCGCATGTGGGAGAACTTTGGCTATATTCTGTACATAGCCAATGTTGGCAATATATACTGTACACTGTCTTCTATTCTAAGTACTATTTTACACAGTCTTCTATTTTTACTATTTAAAACAACATGACCTCATGATGTGATTTAGTAGCCTATGTGACGTACCGTTTTCAGTGGAAATAAATATGGTTCTTCTGCATTTTTAATTCAGTTTTGTGTAAAAATGTATTGGCTGTCTGGTCAAACAATGATAAACGGGGGAAAAAACACTGATATTACAGTTCATTCGTCACACTAAGAATCAACAGACAAATTGAGTGCACCAGTCAAGGACACATGCAGTGCGCACACACAGAGTGAATGCAGGTAGCCGCCCTAAAATTGGGTCACTTTTTATCATTCATGCACATGTTGGAAGTTGTAAAAGCCATCTGAATATTGGAAATGTGCAAAACATAATGCATCATACTTCATAATGCAGAGAGAAGTAGGCTATTTTTTCTAAACAGGCTAGGCTACTACCATTCTTCATAGTATTGCATTATAGCAATAGTGTGCATTATATAGCAGAATGCAGCTTGCAGTAACCTTCCACTTAAAGAACTATGTTTTGAATTAAACTGACATACGAAACAACGCGATAGCCTATAGGCTTATCTAATTACAAAATGGCTATAAAGAGTAAATCGGCATTTATCTATAAATTAAATGTAATATAAAACCTCAAGCAGGGACATCCGCAAACATTTGCGAGCGATGACTCAATCGAATTTGTGGTTTTGTGTTTTGAACCGGTTCATTTGAAATGAACCGCCCGACCGAACCGACTCGCTAAATGAACCGAACGTGCCTATGCTAATCACAAGCGCTTTTCGCCTCTCTCTCTCCTCTGCCCTTTCATTCCGTCATTGTTCACCGACGCTAAACATTTTGTGCGTTTTAGTCTGAATATATTAGCAGAATATTTATAACTGAAAATCAAAGCTGTGGGGGAAAGACGCGGCGCGCAAACGCATGAGAGGGTGGCACTTTAAGGCTCCATCATGTGCGAGCTTCTCAATGCGGTATTATTTGGTGAAGGAGGCAGAGGAACCCACGGGCTGTACGAGAACATTCCCCACAAAGCTTTACATGACCAACGATGTTTCTACACAACATTTCAAATTAGCAGAGATATTTCAGTTTTAGCAATGAGTTTACGCAGGGACGCTAGATCTACAGTAAAGACTCAAAGAATTTAGTATGAAGAGCCTCTGGCATAGGCTACTGTTTTAGTAAGTGCAGTAGTCAGTAATACACGCAGTCAGCATTTTCTCTATCTGCTGTGGTTTTCTTGCATTTTTTTATCCATCACTGACATGCAAATGCTAATTTTAAAAAGGATAATTAACTCTCATAATACCCTTTCTTTCTTTTTCATTTTGAGTATGCAGGATATAGGTGTTAAACATCTGGGCTGATAGTGAAAAGGTTACAATTTTCACTCCCACAATAGGTTATCCGTGAGCAATCACTATTGTGCCTTTGAGCAAGGCACTTAACCTCAGGTTAAGCAGATTAACATGAATAAAAAAACATACATTAGGTCATTAGACATACTGCTGGATATCTATTCCCATTGCACTTTATCTAAAAAGGCCGTTACTATGATCTCTTGAACCAGAGGTTGTGAAGGAGCCCGATTGTGCTGCGTTCACATTTATTTCCCCTCTCTCAGCAAACACAATCCAGTCTCTGTTCATCCATACATTGATCAGGCCCTGTGTGATTGGAGTCAACAATGCATGTACAAACAATTGTCAAGACTGGTTGACATAAATAATTGCAAATTACAGGCAACTGTTTACAAATAATTAAAATGGAATGCTGTATTATTTTTGTACAGAAAATATAATGCAATATATTTTCAGTATATAATGTTTTACTGCAATAAAACAAAGGCAATAGTGCTAAACAATTTTTACTGTGCTTACACTGTCAAACACAAAGACTTAGAGAGAAATACAGACAAATGTATTTGTGTCATTGAGAACAGAGAAATGAATGCCCTTGCTTTTACTGCGCAATGAACAAAGGATACTACCTAATTTCTGTAATTAGTTTTGGCAGATAAGAAGAGTGAATGCAGGTAGCCGCCCTAAAATTGGGTCACTTTTTATCATTCATGCACATGTTGGAAGTTGTAAAAGCCATCTGAATATTGGAAATGTGCAAAACATAATGCATCATACTTCATAATGCAGAGAGAAGTAGGCTATTTTTTCTAAACAGGCTAGGCTACTACCATTCTTCATAGTATTGCATTATAGCAATAGTGTGCATTATATAGCAGAATGCAGCTTGCAGTAACCTTCCACTTAAAGAACTATGTTTTGAATTAAACTGACATACGAAACAACGCGATAGCCTATAGGCTTATCTAATTACAAAATGGCTATAAAGAGTAAATCGGCATTTATCTATAAATTAAATGTAATATAAAACCTCAAGCAGGGACATCCGCAAACATTTGCGAGCGATGACTCAATCGAATTTGTGGTTTTGTGTTTTGAACCGGTTCATTTGAAATGAACCGCCCGACCGAACCGACTCGCTAAATGAACCGAACGTGCCTATGCTAATCACAAGCGCTTTTCGCCTCTCTCTCTCCTCTGCCCTTTCATTCCGTCATTGTTCACCGACGCTAAACATTTTGTGCGTTTTAGTCTGAATATATTAGCAGAATATTTATAACTGAAAATCAAAGCTGTGGGGGAAAGACGCGGCGCGCAAACGCATGAGAGGGTGGCACTTTAAGGCTCCATCATGTGCGAGCTTCTCAATGCGGTATTATTTGGTGAAGGAGGCAGAGGAACCCACGGGCTGTACGAGAACATTCCCCACAAAGCTTTACATGACCAACGATGTTTCTACACAACATTTCAAATTAGCAGAGATATTTCAGTTTTAGCAATGAGTTTACGCAGGGACGCTAGATCTACAGTAAAGACTCAAAGAATTTAGTATGAAGAGCCTCTGGCATAGGCTACTGTTTTAGTAAGTGCAGTAGTCAGTAATACACGCAGTCAGCATTTTCTCTATCTGCTGTGGTTTTCTTGCATTTTTTTATCCATCACTGACATGCAAATGCTAATTTTAAAAAGGATAATTAACTCTCATAATACCCTTTCTTTCTTTTTCATTTTGAGTATGCAGGATATAGGTGTTAAACATCTGGGCTGATAGTGAAAAGGTTACAATTTTCACTCCCACAATAGGTTATCCGTGAGCAATCACTATTGTGCCTTTGAGCAAGGCACTTAACCTCAGGTTAAGCAGATTAACATGAATAAAAAAACATACATTAGGTCATTAGACATACTGCTGGATATCTATTCCCATTGCACTTTATCTAAAAAGGCCGTTACTATGATCTCTTGAACCAGAGGTTGTGAAGGAGCCCGATTGTGCTGCGTTCACATTTATTTCCCCTCTCTCAGCAAACACAATCCAGTCTCTGTTCATCCATACATTGATCAGGCCCTGTGTGATTGGAGTCAACAATGCATGTACAAACAATTGTCAAGACTGGTTGACATAAATAATTGCAAATTACAGGCAACTGTTTACAAATAATTAAAATGGAATGCTGTATTATTTTTGTACAGAAAATATAATGCAATATATTTTCAGTATATAATGTTTTACTGCAATAAAACAAAGGCAATAGTGCTAAACAATTTTTACTGTGCTTACACTGTCAAACACAAAGACTTAGAGAGAAATACAGACAAATGTATTTGTGTCATTGAGAACAGAGAAATGAATGCCCTTGCTTTTACTGCGCAATGAACAAAGGATACTACCTAATTTCTGTAATTAGTTTTGGCAGATAAGAAATCTGACTTACAATTAAAAATTCCCCCAGAAGAGGTAGAAAATCTGCTTAGTGTGTGCCTGTTTTAATTACTCAAGATAAGAGGCCTATTGAGAGGTGCTTCCTTTATATTCACATGATGATGGTTATCTTTTAATCTTCATTTGATGGTTATTGATTTTACCTATTATTCACTTTTCTTATGATGCTTCTGAACAGAACAGGGTTTTTTTCTGAACAGAAAACGAATCCAAATATCATTTTGTATAGGCCTACAGTTTTCAATCACTATGTGCCAAATATATAGCCTATTGGACTCTTTTGGTCTAAGTTGTTTGACTAAAGTAGACCTTAATCGGGTTATTAAAAGTCATTGAATTTAACGCGGATGAAAACGAGGCTGTGAGGGATCGACAATCTTTACAATGTCATAGCCTAGATCAACTCAACTTTCAAAACTGGTTTATGCATTTTTTGTCTACCGAAAGTTTTTTGTTTCGGAAGAACGTTCCGTTATTAAACAACAGTACAATCCATTGAGCGCACTGTATTTTATCCCTCACAGCCTCGTTTACATTCATCCCCGTCAGCGCTCCTCTGAGCAATTATAACCTATCATCATTAACTCTGAAAACACTCTTTGTTCTGTTTTCACTGAAATACCCATCTAAAAGCAGCTCTCCAATTATGAATCGCTTCTAGAATAGCTGCTAGTCTAAATGTAAAGAGGTGCTAATGGGTTCTATCAGCATAAAAATGTAGTGACTTTACAACACAATGAATATAGGCTACTGTGCTTCCAAAAAGAAATTGGACACTCAAGGCACACTTAAAATGCACTGCATTAGACAACAAAATAAAACACAACGGCATTTATTTTAATAAAAATACAGCACAAACAAAAATGAGAAGAAGCACATTAGAAGTCAAGTCAAGTCAAGTCAAGTCTGCTTTATTGTCAATTCTTCCACATGTACAGCACATACACACAGAGAATTGAA